ATTGTTATTCTGATATTTATTCACATTTGAAGCCAACTTACTATAACAAGTTTATTAATTTCAAACTTTAAAGCAAATTAGATAAGTTACCAAATCAAAATAAGTAAGTTCATCACTTAATAAGGAACTAATTTGTAAAAAGGTTGCACCCATTAAAAAGTATCTAGAAACAGCTAAGATAATTGCTCATCATCCTGCATTTAAAAATTGTTTTAGTAGATAAGTTGTTGTTTTTTCCAGCTGGTTCAACCAAAGTTCCAAGGGTTAAGAGTGCTGGAACAGTTGGTTTTGTTAATGGAACAAAGAAATCAGCTGCAATACGCAAAATTCCTCTCCAAACACAGAAAAAATTTGCTGATGATGAAAAAAGAGAAAAGGTAAGCTAAGTGTGTTTTATATTTCAGTGTCACCCTTGTGTGATTTTGTTGATTGGCATTTTTGTCTTTTTACAAAGTTAACATGGATGAGCCATAAAAAATTATAATTTATATCTTACCTGCAGTTTAATGCTTCATTCAGAGGAGAAAAGGTTAGATAAAGTAATTATGAAACTTACTTGTTTCTCGATAAGTACTATGTTTGAATGTGTTTTGGTTGATATACAGTTTAACAGAAAATGTAAGTTCTTGACACATAGTGAAAAATGAGGTTTGAGTATTTCTCACACCTAAAAACCTGAGAGGAATTTAAATGAGAACAATTTGACAATCGACATTAAAAAGTTGGTCACCAAACAGTAAACACCCGGGGTGCTTGAAGATAGTTTATCTTCCTTCATCCCACTAGAAGTAATTATCGTTTATCTAGTGATAAAGTGTATTAACTGTAGTGGAGGAGTAACTTTGGGCATTCATAAGTATAAGATTTTGATGTATGAGGAAGGCATGGAGTGAGGTGAAGGAGGCAAAGTTGAGTAGATGAGAAGAAACAGTATGAAATCTACAAATTCTCACACAGTAGTATTATCTGCAGTTTTATCATTCTTGACTTGCCACACTATTGATGCTTTAACACATTATCTGTATGCATGTATGTTATTGAATGTATTTTTTGATGAGGTAAAAGTTTTATTTCTTGTAAACTACTGTTGGTACATCAGGGGGTTCTCAAAGTTCCATGACCCACGTGAGTAGTCAGGCAATTTTCTAGGACCCATTTTCAGGTTATTTTTCTTTAATTTTTACATTTTTTATTGAAATAACAACTTTAATTACCAAAAGATAATTAAAAGTCTTAAAACTTCAGAGATTAAAGCATGAGTTTTTTGTACTAAAGAATAAACAACAACATACCACAGACCTTTTAATTAGCTTTTGAAATATCCTTTTATTACAGTGGAATAGATGAATACTTTGGCCAATAATTTGATTGCATGATTTGTATTCTGGACTATCAGGCAGGCTTTAGCACTGCCTATGGATGGATGCCTCTGATTGTTCATCAAAATTGTATTTTGAATATCTCCTCAATAGGTCATAAGAACTTTACAATATTTTACATTGTTTCCTTTTACAACAATATCTATATACTGACTGAATCAAAAGTTCTTGGAATGTTTGTAAATATCATAGCAAAAAAATTTGAATTTCTTCTTCATCTTTTTTATTACACAATAACTAAAAACTGAAACAATGGTGTCAACCAAGTTCACTGAGGTGACATTCAAATGGAGTATCCACTTTTACAAGTATTATTATCTAGTAGTAATTAAAGAAAGAAATCGTAATTCTAGTGTAAATGATGTTACCATTACCCCTTGAAGTTTGCTTTCTGTACAGAAATTTGGTTTTCCTTAAAAAGCTTAAGTTCAGGGTGAAACAGGAATTACTAGCCCATAATAGATAAACAATAAATATTACAGTTGGAAGCTCATTGTATTTAGAAATTGGTTATAAATACAACTTTACTATGTCTATTGAAACACTGCATTAAAAAAAACAAGTAAACAAATAAAGAAAAGTCTTTTCAAAAAAGGAAGTAAATGTAGGAGTGGCCAATATCATTCCTTCAAAAACAATGCAAACAAGGTAGTAGGGGTTGCATTTATATTCTCTTTACTTAATAGCATGGCCAAGAATTAACATTTAGCAATATATGTAACTATTCAATCACAATTGAATTTATCCTATTTTCGTCTGTTAACATTCTACTACACTGTGTGCCTGTCCTATTATGTAGGGATGATGTAAATGCCATCCATAATATCATGTTTGTATTAGCCACTCCTACATTTACTTCCTTTTTTTGAAAAGTTATTTCTTTACTTGTTATTATTTTAGTCATGATTTTTGTAAGATATTGGTAAACTTTTTTTCTTGATTACTTGAAGCATTGATCAAAATTTTTAAATTCCTTTGTTTAGTGACAGTTTGTTTTGGATGCTGGTGTATTGTATCTTCTGTTGATTACAGATGGTTATAAATTTGCTTGTACTACTTTTTTTGGTAGCCAACCAGACCACCTAGACTTGCCTTTTGGGTGGCAAGGCAGTAGTTTAGTGTACAATGTTTTTTTCCTAATTTCATAATGAAGCAACCCATAAATAAATGATTCGTACTGTGGCCTCTCGACCTTTCTTACTTCTAGTACTAACAAAGATTGATTGAGAGATAAAATGTTAAAAAAATAATTTAAAAAGTAAATAAAACCCTGCTGAAAAAGAGTGAGAAATAAAACATACTGTAAAATGGTGTCAACGTCTGGTATATTGCATACAATTGTGTAAAATGTGTTTGGTTGCTCAATTCCATCAAATATATAAGATAAAACTCATGATTGGTTGATGATGACTGCAGGCACATAATCCAGTCTTTACTGAAGCATTCACTCTTTGAACTTAAAAAAAAAAGTCACATCTCACACCTGGTGAATTCAGAACTTCCACTCTGGAAACTTGTACTTTGTCTTAAAAAGAAAACACAACAAATCCTGAAATTCTTGCCATGTGCTTATAGTAAAACAAAAGATGCTTCTTCTTTTTTTTAAATATATTTATTTATTTTTGTGGGGGAGGCTTACATATTATGACCGGTTTTCTAGTGTGACTATAGTAATACTTTTATTGAATACAGGAGAATGTGTTATTGAATTCAGTTTACTTAACACAGTTACATCTAGAAATTGAGAACAACAAGTTTTGTTGAACATCTACTTACCTCACCAATGAAGTGAGTGAAGACTTGCGCTGATTTGTCTCTCCCGTTTTTTTCTGTAACTCCTCACCCTCTTTTGTTGGTCATATTCATTGTCTCTATGATGTCACCTCACTTGGCTTTGCAACATTTTGCATATATTGCCAGATGATTAAGAACGTCTCATCCACTACTAAGACAGTCGCATGAATGAACAATTCTGCTTCATCAAGTCAAACACTCTTCACAATATGAAACAATGACCATTTATACTCCATAAATAATATAAAATTTCATTCATGTCTACTGCTACTCATCTGCCATCACTTTCATCACTCTTCATAACATTTATACAGAACATCTAACCTATCACCAAAAGAACTTTAACTTTTCAGCACCAAAAAGTGGGCCCACACAATTCTACTGTTGACTCAAGACATTTATTGATCCATCATCATGTTCTTCTCCCTTCATTCAGTTCAATTAAATAATCATAGCAACCACCAACTCAAGGTATTGTCCATACCAAAAGACCCCAGGATAAACAGAGACCAAGAGTGACATCCCATGTCATAATTCAGGACTATCTGGCTGAATGATCATGGTCCAGCCTACAGAGGTGGAAAGTGGTTAGCACAATCCGGTGTAATTTTCTTCTTTTTTTTTAAATCTTGCTATATCCGCCCCCACATACACACCTAATTTAGAGGCCAGTGGTACCTACATGTATGCTTGTACCTAAATTCTAGAACAATTTCTTTCTTTCCCTAGGGAAACCACAGACTTTTTTAACCCTCTTTTGCTGACTTTTTCAAGTTATTTTACCTTCTTTTGTAGGGAATTTAAAAAGTTTACTTCCTTATGCAGGGAATGTGACAATTTCAAGACCCCTTAGTTTAATTTCTTGGGAATGGGGTTTTAAATATCCTTGTTTGCAACATTTCTTGGCCCTAGATAACCTTGCAAAATATACACTTTTTCTCCGGGTAATTAGAAACTGCATGCGACCCTTCAGAGCTTGGAGTGAAGGCCAGGAACCACTGCATTCAGCACAGCATGCAGCTGAAGTTTCATTAGTGTCTGTGCCATGCAGGGCATCTAATTCTACCACACTGGCAGATACATTGTACCCAGTCAGAGCTGGCTGAGTGCGAGCTCAGATAGGGTCTCAGTCTGTGTGCGCCATTGTGCCGATGCATCCAATCTATCAGATAATGACAAGAAATTGACTCGATATTTGAAAATAACACTGCAAATAATTCTCAGGATAATTTTGTTGTTCTGATACTTGTTTCATGACATAAACACTATTTATTTTATAGGGGAAATAATCACTTAAATTTAGATTTTCTTAGGCAGTTTTTAGAGGCTACACGGACTACCCAAGACAACTTTTTGGGTAGTCCCCCAGCATTTTTGGTGGCTAATGGCGAATGGACCACTGTTAACTTCAAGCTGAGATTAATCATTTTATAAAAAATAATAAAGCTCACAGAGGAAAAAAAGATGAAAATATTTTATTGCCTCTAGGTTGTTTCCTCAGACCTCTTTGAACAACAAGTTGAAAAAGTCCTCGAGGTATCAACAACTTCAAAACATGATCGTGAGTTGTCATTTGTTGAGGAACCAACTGTAGCTACATTCACACCACCTTCTACCCCTAAACCTCGTATCATTTCTGAGGAAGAAGCAAAAGCAATTCTTGCTGAAAAAAGACGGCAGGTTCGAGAACAAGCCGAAAGAGAAGCCGAGTTGGAAAGACAGAGGTTGGCAGAAATAAGGTGAGATATTGCTGTGATGGATTTGATGATATATTATACATAAGTTAAAGGTCACAAAACAGGATTTTCAGAGAGCAGCTTGGGTCTCTTTCAACTGATAAATCAAGTATTTTGAATTGAGAAAATCTTAGAAAAAATTATAACGGCAAAATAGAATTTACATTCTTTTTACAGGTGCCATCTATGGATATTATAAAAATTGTAGCATTTTGAGATGTTTTAGTCAATGTAGTTCTTTAAAAAATGATTAGGTATTTGTAAAGTTGTAGTTTTCATCAGACAAAACCATAAAATTCAAAAGTTGATTTCACTTGTGTTTTAAATATTTCATTAAAGTGCTATAATTTTATTTTTGATGAAAAGAAAGCATCTCTGGTAATAAATGTAAGGGAAGATTCTTTAAGACATATGCCTTTGTAAAGCATTTTATGGTCATTGTAAAAATGTTAGTTAAGTAAAAAAATAACCTTTTGATTTTATCTACATCTAATTACTGACACTTTGAATTTTTTCAATGACATCAAGTGATATTTTTTCCTTTGTAAATTTACAAAAGGGATTGAAAACTTCACTAAAGTGATTTTTTTTAGATTAGAAAAAAATCACAGAAAATTGCGTATAAGAAAAACTGAAGAATACATATTTTTTCTGTTAATGAAACTCTATTGCTGTGGTCAATTTCTGTTTCATTTCGTATTGTTTTATGAGCATACCAGTATAGGCAGTAAATATAAGATGCAGTAAAATTGAAAACTATGATGTAGATCAAAGTGTTTATCAGTACTTATAGTAGGACTTTTAAGAATTATCTGATTTTAATTACCAACTATTTCACTGTTAAATGAGGTTTTTGTTTACATTATTATGTAATTCAAAAATGCAGATGCATTGCATAACAAAAAAGGCTTAATTATTAATTAATGGAAAACTCTATCATTTTTTATGGATACAAATAAATGTGCATAACATTAAGCCATGTTGTAATTTATACTAATTGCTGAAACATGGCTAAGACTAAGCATTAAAAATTCTGAAGGTGTGATTAATACTTTAAATAAATACTAATATTTTTTATTAGGATCTAAAGGTAAATGTCAAACATGAAACATTTAAAGAACATAGTTTCTTTACAGTTGCGATAAGTCACATCTTTCCTCCTCACTAGATCCAAGAATGGTTGATGATCAGTAGTTCTTAGAAGAATACTGTTTGCTAATTTTGTTTGATGAGTCAATGACTTTTTTTTAATTTACAATTAAATTACATGCATAAAGAACCATGCATATAAATAAGTCACACTGATAATTACAACCATACATTCATGCATAAAGTACCGTGCATATAAACAAGTCACACTGATGATTAAATCAGACTTCTGTCATTACTTGTCCTCATTTGACATACATTACCCTATTAAACATTATACTCAGGCCTAAAATATGTGTGTAATATATTCATTATTTTCATTTATATTAAAAAACTTAAAGTATGCTGATTGTTTGATAAAGAAGATACACAGAGATATAGTTTGAGTTCAAACTGAAATGGATATTATATTTCCAAAATATCTTCAGGAGTGTAAATGTGTAACATCCTTAATCTTACACAGTAAACTATATTCTATGTCACTATAAACAAATTATTCACTGTTACTAAAATAATTGCATCAATCCATTAATAAATAACTTCTACAAGTTATAGAGCATTTTTCTTACACCTATATTATCTTTAGCTTTCTGTTATACCAAATAATTTATTAAGAACATGACGAATATTGGAAGCAACTTGTTTAAGTTTTAGAAAAATTTAAATCAGTCCCACTAATGTTCTACTACTCATTTTTACACTGTAATTCTAACAGGGTAAAAACACTAAAATGATGAAACTAGTATTTAGAAAAATTTTAATTTTCTATCCATTAGTTATGATTCTGAATAGCTGAAGTAATAATATTCCAAACAGTGTTACTTGTGTTCATATTGTTGTCTACATGTATAATTTAAAATGAAGGTACTGCATAATGTGTGTAATTCAAATTGATATGTTATGATAGGCTTTCAATATGCATTATACTATTACCAATTGATAGGCGACAGGAAGAAGAGAAAAGGCAAAAAGTAGAAGAACAACAACGTCGATATGAAGAAGAGCAACTTCGGCTTGCCCAGGAACATCGCCACCAAGAAGAAGAAAAACTAAAAAAAGCTATATTAGAAAAACAAAAACAAGAAGAAGAAGAATGTAAAAGAAAAGAAGAAGAAGAGATACAAGTCAGTTTTTATGTGTTGGTTGTAATCAAATACATTACTATATTTTTATTTGGATTCCAGTGTAATTGCATTTTTAATTGGTTTTAACCCTATCTCCATGGGTATCCTTTACTGCACATGACACAAGGTTTTAGTGTCTTACATTCAAAATTGTATTAAACCACTTTTTATTTATGTTATACCAATTAATATAGCATAAAATCTTACCTAATAATCCATATTTTAATACTACATAAGTTTTAAGTTCTTAATTCTATAAGGCAATATTTTAATAAATCCCCTAGAGTGACACACGTGACACATTTTCTCTAGGTATCTTCTCCTCTCTCTTTTATCCAGCACCCCTCCAAATAATACAAAATTAAGCATAAATTACTCACTATAAAATTGTACTTGTTCAGACAAACCATAATTTTTATAGCCTTCAATTTTGTTTGATTACAGAGCTATCAAACAGAAAATCAGACCCCTTCTGTCACACCCATCTATCACAGGATTTATTAATAGTTCTCTTTTACATTTAATTATACATTACCTATAATCAATAGAAATTCAAGGTTTTCATCTATCAAATGACTTACTGTATAACTTTGTGTTCTGAAGATAAATGTCAATTTCACTGAAGAGTACAAGCTTCATTCCCATGGGTAAATTAATGACTAGCTTGGATAAATTTCTAACGGATCTTGTTGCATAGCTAGAAAGTCAGAAAAATTTTGAGAGTTAGGGGAAATTGTCTACTTTTTGCATATTATTAGTCTGTGCTCTTTGGTGCATTATTTAATTATATAAAAATTATTTAGTGCATTACTACCATTACTATAAAGAAAGTAGGGTTAACTTTTTTCGACAATTGACAGCAAGAAAAAAGAAGATTGGATAAGTACTTTATTTTTGTTTTCATGTTTATTCTTTATGTATTGTTATAAAAGTAATTGAAATATAAAAATAGGAATTTTTTTAGCTTAGTTAAGATTAAATTAGATAAAATAGATAATAACATAATAAAAATGTTTCACGAGGCACGCACGTGAGTTGCTCTGCGGACTTACAATGCTAGAAACTGGGTTTCGATACACATGGTGGGCACTCACAGATATCCCATTGTGTAGCTTTCTGCTTAACTTCAAACAACAACACATGAGTTGCATATTCCCTGAGTGATTTACAATTTATAATGGCGTGAATAGTAGTTAGACACGGTTCAAATGGCAATAAAACAATAAAATTTAATTCTAAATAGATGTATACTGTTACAAACTTAAAGCTACTTAGGATAAATGAATGTAGTTTCATGTTACAATTTGAAGGCATCGTAGAAAGGGAAAAAAAAGGGTAATTTAGATTTATTTAGATTTTCTTTTTTGGTGGTTATGAAGTCATTGAAATTGACCGATCCTGATCCCGTATAGAGATAGGGGAAAGAAAATAACAAATGAAAAATATATTTTTACTAAAAAAAACGTTTGAAGTTTATTTAAGAGGAAATTTGAGATTTTTGAGATGAAGAAAAGTATTTTTAATCTTAACATGAAAATTACTTTGCACACAGACTATTCAAAACTAACACTCAATATATTCATGGACAAATCTTTATTTTAGTTTATTAAAAATACTTCACTAAAAAATATGATTTTTTTTTATTTGTGAAAGAGATAATGTTAACTGAAGGACTGCCAAATTTTGTGAAGATATACATACTATATTGAAAGTTAGAAGTATTAAATCTATAAAGACTTTAAATGAGTACAAAGAGGTCATGTGGTCAGTCAAGTTGAGAGAGTTAATAAATTTGTATCACATTGATAACATGGTATTTAAAATATTCACTTCCTGTTGTTCGATGGTTTCATTACTCTTAACGAGACATTTGTTTGTGGTGAGTTATTTATATTAGGTTTTTGCTTCATTAATCTTTAGCCCTATACAAATTATTTAGAAAGAGAAACTTGCTTTTTGTAGTAGTAGTAGTTTCAGAAATATTATTTTTTCCCTAGAATTTGTAAGAGATACATGGAAATGTTTTATACACTACAAACAAGGTGTTATAACATATTGGCAAGTGTCTCTATCACTGTTGAATTCCCATCACTATATTAATATCAAGAACAAAATTACATTTCAACTTTTATTGGAGACTATTCATTAGCCCTGTTCTTATTGGAGACTAATTGTTATAAAATGAGAATGTTTAGAGAAAGATGTATGAATCTTTTATACACCAGCAATAACAGTTTATAGGTGAATAAAGAGCAGTGCAAGCCTAAACACAAAATTAGTATTCTCCTAATACGGTTAGTTAGTATCATCAGATTATGACAAGAAAGGCCATTATTCATGATGAAAAACAAACAAACTTGAATTACCTTCTGAAATATTGAAAACATTAAATTAGGAAATCTGCATGTAAAATTATTTTACGTTTGTTTTTGATGGCAATTTATGTAAGATTGTTACTGTAGGAGTTACTTAAAGTTTTTGTGATATCTTGTAATTCTCGAATAGCTTGAGGTACTTGAAAAGGAATGAAGAAAAAATTAGGTTTATAATTTCAGTGACATCATGGGTGGTTGTGATATTTTATCCTGTTTACATGGAGGAGAGAATAATTTTTATCTTAATTAATTTCGTGCAAATTGTAAATTTATGTTATGATTCTCCACAGTGAAGGTCTTAACTTTATCCATAGGATTTAACAGTGAACATTACTTTCAGACTTAATGATAACCAAAATGTCTGTCTTTATCAACATCTTTGTGAGTGAAAATGAAACTCAGCTTTTGAAGAGGTTCTGTCAAACTACACCATAAAAACAAAAGATACATTTTTGCTGTCCTATTTATATATATAGGCATCTGATGCAGAATCACTTCAAATCGTTTATACTCCCCCTCACACAGGTAAATGTTTTTATCATACTTTCTTCTTCAAAGATGGATTTACACAATTTTTAGATAACCAAGTACGGTATCTTCAGTGTAATGTTTACAGTTCAACACACACTAAAACAAATGTCACTTATAGTTAACCCTCTATATTAAGAAAACATGTACTGGTGGAAAAAGTTACAACAGAGATAGTAAACCAAACCGTGTTATAAAAAAAGGCTGTAAGTAACCTGAAATTTATAAATACAACAACCTTACAAAACTGAAGAAGGAGCTACTCTCAGACAGTTCAACAGTAAAGAATTTGCCTTATAATTACATATCATTGAAACTCAAGAATATCATATGCATTTTGAAAAATAAAATCCATATTTTAAAGCATCTGTCAATCATTTTGTCCTCCCTAGTCCTGAATGTTGATGATTGTTGTTCTCCATTGTTATTTATTCCTTGCTGTTAACACCAACATTCCTAATTCAAGCTCTTTTCATCATAATAATGATTTAAAACTAAATGTTCCTGATTTTTCTTTAATGTTTTTTGTTATTTCAAAGATCTTGGATATCATAGGTCATTTGTGGTCCATGATAACATCATTTACCCTTTGCCATAGAATGGCTGTGGCCTAGGGTGTTTCTTATTTCCAGATAAAATTTCAGGTTACAGTTTCTAAAGCTCTCACCCTCTAATTTTGTTCCAATGCACAAAAAAACATTAATGTCAGACTTCACCTATTTTGGATGAGGTTGAAGTTCTAGACTGCAGTGGCCTGGTACTGAATGTACTATGTCATACAAAAACATTTATGTATTATAAATGATTTATTTAAAGTCTATTATCGTTTTATTGCATGTACAATAGTATGATTACATAATTATATGATTTTTAGTGTGGTTAATTACTTACGCATTGTTATTATTCCCTTTTTGCTGTTGGAAAAGCACCTTCTATGACCCTGCACAACTTAAAGGAGGAATTCTTTCTGTTCTTCTTTCTTTGTCGTGGGCTCTCAGTAATGGCCATATTCTTATCAGCATTGTCATTTAACACATTATAGTTCTCTCTGAGCTCCCATGACTTGGGGTCATAATCCAGAAATCCAGGTTGAATTTTGAGGCATCTGAAGAAATCTTCAATTTACATGTCCTCATATTTCCTGATATACAGCTGGATGTGCCTTGGAGGTTCACCCTTGCCTTCTTTCTCATTTAGTGGCCTTACCATTGCTCATTTTGTTTCTGTTGATGCAGCTGAATCAAAGAATGCCAAATCAATTAGTTCCTCATTGAGATACCATAGATGGCCAACAAAGTTTTGACAGGCAGATTTTGAAAGAGCAGAATTTACCTTCTTATACTTAATAGGATATTGTAGGAGGTTAAGATCATTGTGAGGAGTACAAATGGCATCGGAAAAAGTGAACTATGCTCCAAGATAGACTCAAACAAAGATGCAGATGTTACAGAGTTCTCTCTCCTCTTGTCGAGTGAGCTTAAATTGTCCCATAAATATAAAGATCTTGAGGGCATATAATGCCTTGACCATCCATCATGCATGATGCAGTGCTACAAATTACACTCCACAAGGAGATTCCACTGCGGAAAGTTATGGCTAATTCAAGAAGCTTTTAATAATCATGTCTATGTTAGCTGATCTGAAATTGTCTTGTAGAAAACTCAATGACACTGTCCTTAATTTCCCATATGGCTTCTGCTACTTCATCATGGTAAGCTACAGTTTCATAACTGAACTGATCCATTTATTCCAAAGATTGCTGGAATCAATTGAAAACTGCAATATTTAGATGAGAGGAAAGCCCCATACAGTCTTTGAAAACTGATGAAAACATCAGGACAAGTTCTAGAATATGATGTCAGCATGTCAAATACAGAAGATTTTTGTTTAATCTTTTTCAACAGCACACATGCTCTATTTCTGTGACCAGTTTTGCTGGCTGTAAAATCAAACTGCCTTTACATGATCAATAACCTCCCTACTCTTCCAGCAAATGTACCACAGCAGAAACTAGAGCCTTTCTATTGCTAGAAATGAACTTTGGAACACCTAGGAGTTGGTTTACTCCTGCTCCAGACAAGATCATTGGCAGACAGTCTACTTGTTTTTTACCTATGAGATCATTAAGGAGCTTGCTATCCCAACCAACTACAAGTGAGAATGTTGGCTGGAACTGTTCCTTTAAGTTTTGGCAAGTTCCTTGTGGAAGTGATGTCGAGATCTTTGGATCAAGGAATGGTTGATGGTTAGCTCCTGAACATCATGACCAAGGCTGTAAATTGTTCCAGTAAGGACATATGTTGCCTTTCTGTCACTCAACTTGGTTCTGTACATAGCTGCTGTTAAATTGGGAGTAATTATATATTTCGTCTTGTCCTTTTTAGAAGTTGATGATTTTCCAATTGCTCCTCTATTCTCATCACATAACTTCAGTTCACTGAAAGTGAATGGAAGTTTTGTTTTCACCCCTGTGTGTGTTTGTCAGCAAGATTTCTCAAATGGATTTGGACGAAAGTTGGTATACATTTAGACTATGACCCAACTTAGAAATGATTAGTTTCTTGGAGGGTCAAAGGTAAAGGTCATGAAAATCCAAAAAATCTCCATTTGTTCACATGGAGACTGATTTTTCACATACTTTTTACTTTATAACTCAGTCAAAAATGATCAGATTTTGATGAAATTTGGTGGACATATGGAGAATATTATTCCTCATTATCCTGCCAAAAATAGTCCATGTCTGTTGATAATGACAGACATACAAACACATTTTTCTATTTTTTTGGGAGCTGAATATGATCAACATTGCATCTACCAACCCATCATCACTGCTGTGGGATGATTCACAACAACTGACAGTTTCATTCAAGGCCTGATGTTCCTGCTCTACATGTCATATTTTGTCCATACTTGCCTCACTTCTCTTCTTAGTACTTGATTCCTTAAAAAAAAAACATATCTACCTGGCCCATGAACCCACAACATCCGCTTTCTATATGAGAAAGAATAAAACCCTTGTCTTCTAGGACCTTGATCAGGTAAAGGGCATCATTATGAGTGATGTCAAAAAGATCATCTAGATTACTGACAAACTTTGCTTCATTAGCTCGCTGTGTTTTAATTTTCCTTTAATTTTGCCCATTTTTCAAAAAAAAGTTTCTCCAGCTTGATAATGGCATGATATTCTGGACAAAATGGAATTATAGCCTTGTTCCAAAATGTTGTAGTCTCTTTGATCACAACCTTTCATGAATGTTTTGTGATGGTAGAAGAACACATACATCACTTGCCTGTTTGAAGGTAATATGTTTTCTATTAGTTCAGTTTCTTCTGAATCAAGCAGCCAAAGTGTAGTTTTACTTCTTGTTCAGGTATCCATGTATAATAATATGTCAGTACAACATCTGATGAAATGATAAAGATGAATCTGCTTAAGAACTTTTATACTCTCACAGAAATTCTAGAAATTACTATCATGTCATACAGAATATTCCAGAAGTAAAAAGTGACAGCTTGGATTATAATCATAAATGATTTATATATGGAATGTTTTTCAACGTTCTGAGTAATGTGAATACTCTGGAATTTTCCAGAATATAATACAATATTCCATAATAAGATGCTATAACCTTTCAGAATATGCAGATATAATACAAGCTACAAGGTAAAATTTCAACCACTTTGAGGAACCCTTAAATTTTATTCAGTATGGTTAAAATTTGGTCTGAATTACATATTTATATATTGGAACAAAACAAGAGGTTGAGAGTATTGTAAATCAAAATTTCAAAAATAAGAACCAACCTACTATGGCCCTTGCAATAAACCTGAAAGTTCATGAGACTGCTGACTTTTTGAATAAAAAATAAGAAATATAAAACTGTAATTGACCAAGAATATTTCTTTTTAAATATCCAAAACTATTTTCAATTAGTGTAAAATATTTATACCCACAGTATTTTGAACATTGTGAAATGCTGTATTTTTCCTTGAGTAAAAAGTGGTTTAAAATCATTCTTTAGGTATATTTCATAACTTATCTATTATTATCCTGTATTATTATTTACTTAATTTATGTGATCTTTCATGTTCTATGCAGTTAATTTTAGCAGCTAGTTTTCTCTACTAGTGCCATTTTCCAATCATTTAATCCTTGATTCTTTCTTTAAATATTTTGTATCTGTCTTTCTCTTCCTACACTCAGATCAAGGAATCAATGCCATAACTTGCCACAAAAATGTGCAAACTTTTATTTTCAGGGTGTGCCACTGAAGGAGCCCATGATATTACTGAAGGTCTAAAAATTAATATTTTAGTATTTTCATAATGACCATTTTCAGTACTGAAGGAGTACTTGTGATGCTTTTGTAATTTCATGCTCTTTTCAAGTATTATAAATACAAGTATTTTCTTTCAATGGAAAAATTTAAAAATGCAGTAATGTAAACAACTTATTGTAGAATTTTATTATCAGATTGTTTTTGATAAGTAGCAATTTATTGATTATTGTTGAAGTATGTTATGTTTGAAGGTAAAAAGTATTGTTTTGATAGTGGAAGTAGTGTGATGCTGGGAGCATGCGCGCTGGAGTTTCTGGAAGGATCATGAATTTTTCTGGCAACTCTAGTTTGTTCCAGGCGCCCTCTTTTTTAATATATAAGCCCGGCAAATAAAGCCAGCAAAAAAGATAGAATTGCATAGATAGATTGAAGATAGAGATAATTGAGTCAAGTGAACAGTAGGAACCGTAAGTAATGTGTGTGAATCGCTGTGAATTATAGCGTGTGTTTATAAAAGTAATTAAGTTAAAGTGTCTGTGGAAATTCTGTATATCAAAGTTGTATCAAGAAAGAATAAACTAGTTTTAATTAGGAAAGGACTTGTGTCACTGAAGTTCCCCGGAAAGAATTTATACCGGAAATTAACAAACGAGCAGATACATAACAGTATAATATAATTTACGTGTGTGATTTGTTTAAGAACAAATCTAAGTACATTGCAGAGAGCAGTTTCTTGATGCTTCTTGAAGTTTGTTATGATTGAAGTTAAAAAAACAATTTATAAGTGATTTGTTTAAAAACAAATTTCAATACACTGTAGAGAATAGAGAAGGAAGAGCAAGAACGAAAAGCTCGAGAAGAAGCCGATAAACTTCAAAAAGAACTAGAAGAAAGACACAGACAAGAAGAGGCAGAGAGAGCAGAAAGAAAAAAGGTAACAAAATTCAATCTCTTGTAATTCACAAGAGTATAAACATATCAGTTTAAGCATACCAAATATGTTTCAATTTTAGCATTTAATGAGTCCAAGTTTACTTGATGTACTGGTATGAATGTACAGTTAATCCAGCCTTACAGAAAATATACCAATATCAAGGTAAAATATATTCAGGCATACACAGTATTATAAGTATCTGGCCAGTCCAAATTTCATGAACTGTGTCAGTATCCAGTTAAAACTTATTGAATATATAAAATGGAAATTTCTGAATAATAATAGAACCAAATTTCATGTTTTTAACACTTATTTACATTGTATATGTCAGTGATTGTATGTATAGATAAGAAAATTAAGTATGCTGTTATTAGGAAAAAATTCTTTTGGATACATTATTAACCACGATAGGGATCTTACAGGAATTTGTTCAAAACTCTGTTAGGACATTTGGGTAAAAACCACCTTAAAAAGCAGTCTTATTCTTGAAACTACATTCCAACCTTCCTTTTCAATAGTTAAGACCATCCAAACATTGAGAAAAATAAGTGATTTCATTATTGTTTGTAATATTATTGTTTCACAAGCCCATAGCAGAATCAGCTGGGTATTTTACACTAAAACCAACACAAATATACTTTATACTGTATGCACTTAATAGGGTTTGTATCTTACTCTAGGCATATATTTTCCTGTTGTTGTACATTAACAAAGCTAACATGCAATATAATTAAAAACTGAGAATTTAAAATCTACAAATATAGATCACAAAAAAGTAAGTATATAGGGCCAGAGATGTATTGCTGACAGTTTGCTCAAGCTAAATATCCCTATTATGTTTTATTAGCAGCAACATTCAGCCTTGAGAGCTCTAGTTTCCTTTCTTTCTGTTACCAGTACAGGATATGCGATGCAATCACACACATATTTCCTGACTTTTATGTCTCCTATTTAATGAACATCTTGACAATTTTCTTGATTTATAGAAAATAAAAGTACCGTGTGTTCACTTTACAGTTTTCCCATCTGAATGTCTCAACTTTAGATAAACATATTTTGCTAATCTCGAATACCACGAGTATTTTGTTTCCTTATATTGTTGACCACACACTCTACATTTCTTTAGCCTTGTCAAAATATTATTCATTTTTACTGTATTTATGATTAAGTTAACAAATGTGGAACTATTTGTAAAATATTTGCTCTATAGGTTGTCCTTTCATTAATACAGCAATGATTTTAATAGCTGAATACAAGATCTTCCTTGCACTGTGGTATTTTTTCAAAGGCTTGTTTGGTGTTAGCTAACAATTATTGATATATTGTGTATTTAATATTAAGTGAACCATAATTTTAAAGCTACAATTTTTGTATTATACTGCTGAAATATGTAAGGGATAATCAAAATGTTCAATATTCCAGCCATTGAATCCAGTAGTTGATAATAAACAACTACTGTTATTAAATAGTTTTGGTAGCAACCCCTGAGTTGAATCCAGAAATTGATGATAATCAACTACTGTTATTAAATAGTGTTGGTAGCAACCCCTGAGTTGAATCCAGTAGTTGATAATAAACAACTACTATTATTAAATAGTGTTGGTAGCACCCCTGAGTTCACTTATATGTAAAACAAGGTTCAGGTAGCCTGTCATGCAAGCTGACATGAACATTTAATTTGTATAGAAAAGTAAAAGAAACACAGTGTGTTCTTAGTCAGCTGTGTGGTGTGTGTAAAGAAATCCAGATTGATAGTGAAACATGCCAACTTTGATATTAAGGGCAATAGGTTGACCAGAAGATGGTCAAACACAAGTCTCACAAAGCGTGGTTAATTTCATAGGATGTTGACTTACTTTCACACCATCAAAACAGTTGACTGAAGACCTGGAGTTGGTAGACAACTGCTGATAATTCTGCAATATGATCACTGTTTGACAGTACAGGCTAGAAGCAACCAGCAGGCCTTAGCTCTCCAACTAATTCAAAAGTTTAGAAAATCAACTAAACAATAAATTAATATGCAAATGGTCAGAAACAGGCTTCATAAGAGTTAACTTTTATATCAGATGACCAATGCCATAATTCTTTGCTCTCATTGTCACAAAATGGCTTGTCTTCAGTAGTGTAAGAGACTCGTGGGTTGGTCAAAAAAACATGTGCTCACAAATGAATCTCACTTTAAATTGCAGCCAGAAATGAAATATGTACATTTTTGTAGTGTTCCTGAAGCCATATCCAACGCCATGGAAGAGAGACATGCACTTGGTGTTGTTGACATACTGGTTTCGGTAGAGATCAGTACTGATGCCCACACTGACCTTTATGTGCTCTGACATGGCACTGTGAAAGCCATACACTATAGGGATGTAGTGTTATAACCACTAGTGTTGCCATATAGAGATGCAGTTAGTTAGAACTTTCTTTTGATGTGTAATAACAACCATGCTTAACTGTTTAGCAACATCTTGGAAAAAGAAGATATCAATAAAATGAACTGGCAGCATGTGATACATCTATAAGTAGCTGAGGAACTGGAAGGAACTCTTTTGGATATTACTCCAACAGGTCATTGATTCACTTATGTTATGCTTTCCGTGTCAATGTATGACTTGTAATAGTGTTCAAATTGTTCATAGTCCTTATTAGTGTTTTCTAATCATTTATTGGACTACAAAGTTGTAGTACCAAATAAGCATTCGTCGCGTGAGCTCCAAATCGTGACAGGTCACCAGAAACTTGTTTTGCTTGAAATTAAACTTGGAGATGTCATTAACATATTTTAATAACACTAATTTTGCCTAATCATAGCTAGAATATATAAAAGTGTCATTATGAGTTACACTAAAAGGATACTTGATATTTCTTACAGCGTTTGGAAAAAATAATGAGTCGAACTAGGTCACGTTCCAGAGGAGATAGTCCCAATCCACCTTCCAGAACCTCCACACCTCCTCTTGTGGGACATAAACTAGTAGCTGGGCTTCCTTTTGTGAAGCGAATTCTAGGATTAGGGCATGAAACAAGTGATAAAGTTATGTCAGAGAAAATGAAAGGACATAAGACAGGTGAGGATTGTGTGGAGAGCACAGGAGTTACTACTGCACCCACATCACAAGGTGTTGTACAGAATGGTTTGTCTGAACATACAGATTCAAATAAGGAAGTACCAACCAGCAAAAAGCTTGAAGACTCCATGTTAAGTATAGAGAAGCAGAAGAAAGATCAGATTAACCTACTTGGAAATGACATTGCAAAACAAGATTCCAAAGCAAGTGATACAGAGTAAGTTGTTCTGTTTTTGCTATAGAGTTGGGTGATTAGTAGAATTTGCTAATCAATTAATCATTGGGCTCATTAGTTGATTATCTTCACATGAGGCTTGGATAGATGGAATAATGGAAAATAGTAATAATTGGAAACATTAACTTTAATTAGTGGGTTAATTTCTTGAGTTGTGCCACTAACTGATTTAGCTAAACAATCTTGAATTAATCAAAAACAATAATTAGAAATGAAAATATTTTGATTATTTGGATAGTTGGAATAGTCTGAAACATTAACATCAATTAATCTAGTTAATTGACCAACTCTAATCACTTATTTATAACCCTTGCACATATTATACTTTTCAGTGGTGACTTGTGCCTAACTGTTGCACCATAATTTGTGAAAATGTAACAAAAATATTTTGATTTATACCTACTGCTTATTTTACAATGTAAGCTATGTTCTTGAAACAGTATAAAAAATGGGTATGTTAGATGAGATAGGCCTATCAATCTGTTTATCATACATATAGCTCAATCATGATATATTTAAGTATCATAAGTATTTTAGTGTGAATAATATAGACACATGTTATACACATTTTAGCATCCACTGTTTAACTGTATGTTTACCTATGTTTATCAATCAAAATTCACTATTATTGGAACTGAAGACAGAAAAATTAGTTGGAAATTTTGACATAAGTCTTTCCATGCTTGAATTGTTTTAAGCCTAAGTATATATTATTGTTTTAGGAACCAAAAAAGACTTGCAATTTGTATGCATTTGTTCTGTTTAATGGGAGAGACTAGCCTACTATCTGACTGTGTTTGTTCCAGGATAGTGTAAAAAAATCACCTACAAGTTCTAGAAAGTTGAAAAGACTGGCTTTCAGGTTATATGTGTTCATTCTAGAATTCTGAAGAACTGACCTATGGGTTTTTTGGTTTTTCTAGAATATAGAAAAGACTGATCTACAAATTATATGTGCTTTTCTAAGATGTGTAAAAGAAAAATTTGTGTGTTAACTCTCAGAACAGACATATGTTGGATGTGTAGTATAGCAATCTCAGAAATTGAATAATACAGTGATGGGTGAAGTCTTTATCTGTATACTAACTAGCTGCAGGACTAGAAATTTCCTTATATTAAATATAGCTAGGAATAAGAAGTTTCTAGAACAACAAAACTATTTTTTATAAAAAGAGTTAAAACCCAGTGTGAATAATAAAAAAAATCCAAGAGAACTACTAAAAGACATTCTTTTGACAAACATGGATTTCAGAACATTTGAAAAAGACATGGAATATGGAAGTTTCTCAGACCAGAAGGCCCAGTTGACCTCAGACGAGCTACCCAACTACCGTATGATTGATCAAAATCTAGCCAACATTACAAGTACTACTGGTGCTAACCAGAACCAAGTAGGCAATTTATTGACAAATGAAGATGATGTAAACCAAAATCGTATGCCAGGAAACCCACTGATACAATTTGAAGAGAAGTTTCCTAAAAAACAGGAGGCAGGTAAATAACTGATAAAGCAAAACTTGGTTAGTCTTTGCTAGTGTCAAAGTATCAAGTTAGAATACTGTCTTAAATGTATAAATCAACATAATGGAGTTTTTCAAAAACTACCTTGGTTATCTGCTTGTTGACTTTGTTCTATAAGACTTATCATGGTGTGTCTGTTAAATGCCTAACAAACAAATTATTCAAGCATTTATTGGCTCTATTTACCATAATTTTTTGTACTAATTATAGTGTTAAACCAACACATAAATGATATTTTGTACCTTGTGTTACTGCAGAACATGGATAAAATATTAGTTATCTTCTTCCCTAAAAACATGAAAGAAAGACAAAAATACTGCATATAAACAACCAAAACCATAAACTATTCTTGATACAAAGTAGATAAATATGGCTAACATTATTTTGGGGTAAATTGAGATCAGAAGCATTCTGAATCAGCTTGATTTTACTATTGTCAGCATCTTACAGTGATTAGTGACAAGAAATCTGTGGTCCTTAAGATGACTTAAACTCTTTTTTTTTTTAGGTGACTTGGAGATATAAGCCCTGTATTTGTTAATACCTCAACATCTTGATATCAAATTAATATTTATGTCAACTTTTAGTTGCTTGTGTAATTAATACTTTAGAGTCGTGTTTAAGAAAAATATTTTATTAAGTTTTCTTAGAACTTTTATGTACTTAAAGATAACAATTATGCTAAATTCAACTTGGAAATGAAAGAGAGCTTCATACAACAGAATCTCTGTACCTATGATGAAGTGAAGCTACAGTTAAACACCTAGCCAAACAAAACACATATAGGATAGCCAGGATTACTGCTAAAAGTATGTAGTATAAGTTAGAGAATTTACATTGATTGGAGAAGCATTTGGAAAATATAGCCCTCTCAGCAGTAAGTCTTGACAGATTTAACTTTGTTTTTATTTTTCATGATGATTAGAATTATACTTTAGTCATTATACTTCACATGGAGAAATTGTTTTTATGTCAGTTTAAATCAAGTTTATTTAAAAATGTAACCCCTATAAAATAAGTAAAAACATTCAATGTTTAAAAATACACGATAATTTACTGTACAAGTTAAAAGTAAAATATACAATTCAAACCTCTATACAATTATACACTCTACATGTTTTGATGGAGAAAGTTCCACCATCTTCAGGAGACTGGAAGAAACACAGGAAATGTCTTCTTTTTTTTTATACCAGCAAGTGCACGTGTATAATTTGCATATTATACAGTGCCATTTACAGAATGGATTTTCATTTTCAAAATTCACTTCTGCGGCACCAGGACCTAGATCTATATTCAAAATCATTTTATGCTTAATAGTTTTAAGAGAGTTTGCCACATGTCCTGCCAGGGCCGAATCATTAGTTTTTAAATTTTCGATGGTGTTTTTGTGTTTATTAATTCTACTAAACATGTTTGTCTGATATAATTCAAGCCACAACTGCAAGTTATTTTATATACCCCACATATATCCTTTAATTCAAGTTTATCTTTAATACCATTAATGGTATTCACTATTTTTTTATTTAGGAGTAAAAGCTAATAGACAACCAGTATTTTTCATGAACACCTTGCTTATTTTTGTTGAAAGTGATGGAACATATGGCAAACATATTCTTTCTTTATTAACCTTACTTATTAACTGTAGTTTAGTGTATTCTGAAATTTGTAGTTTATTACTGTTTTTTTAAATCCCATCTATAATACACGGTTCAAAATCTCTCTCAACAGTAAACTCTTCACATAACATTGAATGCAATAAGATTCAACTACTTAAAGAAGTTAAGCTAAAAATTAATTAAACATTAAAGAATCTCTTGAAATTATTAAACATAAAATGATTTTAAATAAAGATCTGGTGCTACAGATGTGAATTTTTAGATATCCTTTTTGTAGATGGCACTGTATAATATACAAATTATACACATGCACCTGCTTGTATTAAAAAAAAAGAAATGTCCTGTGTTTCTTCCAGTCTCCTGAAGATGGTGGAACTTTTTTCGCCAAAACATGTAGTTCTTAATTGTATATATTACTTTTAACTTATACAGTAAATTATTGTATATTTTAAACTTTGAATGTTTTTACTTATTTTATGAAATCTATGCACAAGAATAGTCATAGAATACATTGGTGTAACCCCTACTTATAAACCATCTCCCACAACTTACATTCTGTTGTTCCAACTGTGTAGTTGTAGCTAAGTTTGTGTGTTTAGTACATATAACAGTTTTTTGTTCAATTGTCCTGGTTTTTAAAGTGAAATATTATATATATTAGTCTATAATTTATTTTTTAATTTCTGTGTCACACAGATATGTATACTGAATGTGGCAGTTTATGGTAATATTCACATGTACATTTCATTGTGGGAAGTTAAATTAGTATAGTGCTATGTTTATGTAGAATTTTGTGTGTTCTCTTCTACATCTTATCCACGACTCCAGTTCTCATTTAGTACCAACACAATATTTGGAACATCTGAGTTTTGGATTAACCACTTCAAGGAAACCTTCAACCATGTCCTTTGGGATTGCAAATCTCATGTTCAAACTCTTCTTTCTTCAACACTTACTGCCAAAGACATTCCCTTGGAATGGGCTCATGTGCAACACCTCCAATGGGATCCTTCTTCTCAGTGATGTTTATCTTCAGAGTTGTTATCTCAGAGAATTCTCTCTTTTTCTTGGGTTCTTTTCATTACCTTCAATTTATGGCACAGTTGAGAGTTTACTACTCCAGGTTCCCCTTTTCTTTCATCTCATACCTTTTCACAGATGCCTCTTTTTGGGGCTAAGGTGCTGTTTTAGAAGAAAATCATATTTTGCATTCTTGGTCTCCTCAAGAATCAGAATCTTACATCAGTCTTTTTGATATGTGTGCAGTTCATCATGTTTGTCAGTAGTTGTCACCCTTGCTAGACTACCATTGTGTTATAGCTAACACAGGCAATTCTACGTATCAACAGTTAGGGAGGAAGTCAATCTTGTAACCTTTATTTCATTCGTTCTATTCCACTTGCATCGTATCTGTCTCTGAGCCTGTCATGTGCCATGTGTTATGATCATTCTTGTGATTTCTCCTTCCAGAGATTTTTGGCCTCACACCTTAGTGGGAGAATCTTTCTTCTCGATGTCTTTCCTCAGACATTGGCCAATTTATCAAAACATCAAGTTATCTTTATTGCTCCACTTTGGCTAGCTCAACCATGGTCTCTCCTGCTACATCATCTATCTCAAGCAGATCCCCTTCCATTTCCTCTTTGGAGACCTTTTCTATATCAGCCTTGAACAGGCATCTTCCACTGTGGTGTCTGTCTACAGTTTCTCAGATGGTTGTTGTGCAGTCCTTTATTAGAGAAGCTGAATTCCTTCCTTAATGTTGTTACACTCTTATCAACGTTCATCTCTGACCATCTACCAATCTTGCTAGACTTTATTCAAGAGTTGGTGTTTTAGAAATTCTGTTTCTTCTCTTATCCACAACAGATTGCCTTGTTTTACATGTTATTATTTCATGATATTGGCTTATTTACTTATTCTGTTATAAACTACAGTGCAGCTCTCTCTACCACCTTTAGATGCCACGGAAGCCATCTCTCTTTCACTTTTTACTGAAATTTGTGGAACTTTCACTTATTTCATCTACAAGTCCATAAACTGTTCTCACAGGTCTTACAAGGACTTGCTTCTACTCCTTTTTAACTTGAGGTAATAGACGATATGACATTTATAGCTGATTCTTCTCATACTCTTTTATTTTTCTAGGAAGGCTCTGCACTTACAGCGTTATGAATCCTTCTTACCAAAGGCTTGGGCTGAGAGAGGAAGTAACCAGTGTTTTAATCAGTTATGTTACCTACTCTGACTGACCAAGTTTTTGTTTTGAATAATACTTTCATTGTTCTTTCAGGGCTGTTCTTTGCTTTATAATGAATCTCAATCCACAAATCTTGCTTCATCCAAGCCAATGGATTGAGTTGTGCAACTGATCCATCTATCTGTTGTCATATACCCAAACACCTTAGAAGTGAATTTTAGATCACATCTCATCAAATTCCCCATTTGGCAATGTCTTTTGCTTTCCAGTCTCAATACTCATTAGAAGACATCGTATGGAAGAATTCAAATACCTGTCTAAAATTTTATTTGTAACACATTGCTTGCTCCTCAGCTTTGAAATCCTATTTAACACTTATGTTAAACACAAGCCAGATGGAATCCATAGCAGAGGAGTTATTCTCTGTTACTTGCTTATTTACTACATGGGCTCACACCTATGATATGTAGGGCAACTCAGGAATTTCTATACCAATCCAACACCTCTGTTAACAGTTTACACAGGTGTCTGGGTGAAAGTTATTCGATTGAACAATAAAAACAAAATCTTTCTTGTCTATGGGGATTCTTTGTTGTTGTTTTTTTGCTATTTCTACATTTCTCTGAATTCATCCAGTTAGGACTCTTGCATGCTATCTAAACCTCTGAATTTCTCATTGAAACAATTTCACTCCTTGTACTGATGTTTCATAAAAAAATCAATTCATACATATAAGAGGTTGATGTTCTCAGAAAGTGGACAGAAGATGCCATCTGGTGACTGATGATACATTGTTGGGTACCTCTCCCATCTCTCTGTGTATGTTCTTGTGTATTATTAAAAATATCTGAGGCAGGATGTCCATTTTCAGTGGGTATTTCATAGTTTCTATCAGTATGGCGTACAGCTACATTTTCTTTACTTTTCCATTTTCTATGATGGACCCATTTCACTATCCTTGAGTTTTTGAGCCTTATTCTTGGGACAGCTTAGATCTTTATTGAGTTCTCTCTCAATGCTCATTAACTTGGCTGGTTTGATGTCTCTGGCCTTTTCAGTTTTGGATTGAAGGGGTAATGCTGCAGGAGTATATTTATTCACAACTTTCATCTAAAAACCTTCTACTACAGATATAGGATATAGTATTCCTTCTACCTGTTTATGACAACACCTGTTCTCCCATAGTTGGCTCCACAGATGAACACACTACTGCCCAAAATGATCCCCTTTTGGTATGAACCAGTGGGAATTGAGGGTAAACAGGTACCCTGATGAGTAGAATGCCTTCTTTTTGAGTGTTATTAGGTCTAGTCTTTATATAAGGCTGATCTGCTCCACTCATTCTCCCTCAATTCTGGATTCTACCCCTTCACTGCCTGATTACATCTTAAATGTGGTCTAGGTAGCATTTATATTTTTATAATGTTAACACATCTCCTTTTCAGCATGGGTGTTCTGGTTATTAGTATTTCAGAGGTAAGCCTACCTGATTTAAATTTAAAATTTTGAAGATCAATATGAATTTCAAACAATACTTTCTTCTGAAAAACTTTCCCCCATAGCTCCCCACAACCAAGAGATGTGGTTTTTCATCATTGCTGAAATCTGAATTATGGTGGGAAAGAAGAGCTTATATAATTTCTTCTAACACATGTGCATTAAGATTGTAGAATTCTTGGTAAGTTGACACTTGCTGCATTACATCAAGGTTATTCACAACTATGAACCACATGGTTGTTGACAGCTTGAGAAGGAAGGCTTTCAGTATTTCAGAGATAAGTATCTGTTTGAAATTCATTTTAACACAAAACTATAAAAAATTAAATAAGGTAAAACATTCTACAGCTTATGTTGATTAAGACTCTTCATCAGAAAGTTAATTACTTAACAAAATTAAACACTGTTTCACATCACATGTAAAAATATGTATTCTTCTTTTCAGATCTTCTTTCCTAAGGAAATGAGACATGTAATGACTGTAGACTTTGCTAAAAGTCAGCTCTAGATGTGAAGAGAAGAACAGCTATCACTAGTATTTTGATCAAGCACCCATCTAGCATTAGGTCATCTCTGTTTTGTGTAGTTAGCATTAAAAGTTGCTCATTCAGAAGATAATATATATGTAAGTTAATGTTTATGTGAAATGTAGATTAAAGCACCCTCTTTTAGACTTATATAAACTATGATAAAACCCTTATATTGCTGTGTTAGTAAACAAATTTACAGTTTATAGCATTTTAGTGTTGTGATTATAGAATTAATCTTAGTGCTTCTTAGTTGTAAGATTTAGCTTCAACAAAAAGTCATAGTATAGCTAATAATAAGCTTTTCCACAACCCCAGTAAGCCTAACTGATGTATACATTTGATATTTGGGGAGGTACTGACTTTAAGCTTGTAGCATGGGATTACACAACTTGCCTTACAAGTTTACTTTGTATATACATGTATAGTAAGATGGGTTAGAACTTGCCAACTGTGATTGACATAGCTTTTGCTTATTTTATTTTTGGAAAAAATATTCTAAAATCATATTTACTGCAGTGATTTTTTTGATACAATAAAATTCATGACTTTACGTATGTGTATGTGTGTGTGTTCAGGATCAATTTAATATCCTAAAATTGGTTTGTTATAAATTATATCAATTTACTTTTAATTTTGTTCTCATGACCTGTACACATTTTTTAACACTATGACATTCTACAGTTATGTCGGTGATGTTGTTCTTTATAAGTTTTTTTTGCTTACCAAAAACATCCTTTAATTTATAGTGAAAAAATAGGTACTTAATTTATGCCATTTCTTGTTCTGATACATTTTACTTAAATTGCCAAACATTGGTTTTTTGTAAAGTAATGTTTTTATACAATAAGGTTTTCAGTTTTCTAGATTTAGTATAATTCATTTCAGTGTTTTTCTCCATGTTTAATGACTAAATGTGTTTTTGAAATTTGTGTTGACTTTGAGGTTGACATATATAAGAGGTTTCGAGTGTTTTGGTATAAATCTCAGTGTATGGTCAAAGGCTTTCTTTAGTGCAAAAACATTACTGATTAACACTTATATAGATGCTAGTAACCTGTGTTCACACATATTAACTAGAAACTTCCAGTTGCTGAGTCAGTTATTTGGCATCAAACATGTGGTTGCTAGTAAATATATTTGTACATTTTGAAGATGTAATATAATCAGTCACCTTTAGATTTTCATATAGGTGGGACACAAATCATTAAATCTAGCTGTTTGCCAGTTAATTATATTTAAAATGAACTATAAGACACTATGTATTTTTGTTGCAAGATATTTGTTTGGCTTGTGATATAAGAATTAGAGTTAAATAGAAGTTTTGAAACCAAGATGATTTCTGAAAGGTTACTCAAAGGATATGTATTACTGAAACATGAGAGAGCTGATTAAAACCTTCATAACTTACATCAAGAGTTGTGAAATAATTATTGATGCCAATGCCCATTTGAAAAAGACTTCAGAATGATTCAGCAGCAAAATGTCGATAAACATCTTTATATAAAAGAGTAAATGTTTCTGAACATGAATTAAAAGTGGTTTAAATTTTGTGCACCAAAAGTTTCTTTACCATAAAAAACGTAAAAGTAAATATTTACTCATATATTTTTAATTTGTACAAAGTTTTTCTTTAAATTAGGTCAGTGGTCTATAACCCCCTCCCCCCAAGTCTTTGTTGAAATAGTTTCTTTTTTGATCCTTAAGGGACATTGCATTGTTAATCATGAAGAGGCTTGATGTAGCTTTATGACAGTGTACAGAAAACCAGTATATGAACAAACAATGAACATACTTCTGAAAGTATAAAGTTAAATGTTATAAAAATACAATTGAACAAGTGAATGTGAAACCTTAGTTAAAATACTTTGAAGTCAGCACTTCTAACCACAGTTTTGTTTTGGTGAAAGCTGCAAGATGTAGCAATAACTAAGAGTATATTCTGGGTGAGAAAAGTTGCAGATTCAAAGAAAAGAAACAAAACAATATGTTATGTTTTTTCACAGTCCTAAATTATGATAGGTAAACAAAAGATAGATCTTATGTGTTACCTTTACACATATTGCTGGTTAAAAATCTGTAATGACTAACAAGAAGGATTGTGAGAAAATATGCCTCAGTAGTGTAACGTAATGCCTAATGAACGTTCACACCTCACACCAACTTAAATGTCTAACACCATTATTACGTTGCTCTAGATCATAGATGCTGTTGTTACACAGTTTACACAATAAGTTCTAATCATGTATTACTTACAGTTCCATTTTACATGTTTGACTAGTTTCTTCCTCTGAGAACTTTATGCATGGCCAGAAGTTCACTATTGTACAATGATAATTTTTATTATTACATCTCTCTCTCTACATCATCACTCAGTTACTTACATGTGGTAATCACCTACATAAGAGATGTAAAAGTTTGAAACTTTTGATCAATCATTGTTAATTAAATGATAATTTATTTATTTGCCTTTTCAAAAGTTTATATAACATCCACTAAGATGTTATACTTTATAAGTTCACATAGTTTATCCTGGTCAACTCTGGTATACAGTAATAGGTTTCTTCATTCATAAAAAGTGCTTTAATTATTCCTTTTACTGGAAACCTATAGAGTACTAGTTAAAAATGAAAGTGTTAAAAGGAAGGAAATCTAGGATTGACATTATACCGAATTACTGTATCATCACATTAAAAAGTGTCTTACCATCTGTCACTTGTGGGTTATCTCTAGTTTAGTTGGTAGAGCACTTGCCTGTTGTACAAGAAGTCTTAAATTCAATCCAGGATAAGAAAATACAAATATGGAATTACCACAAAAAAAATTGGCAACTAATGTGGGGCTTTCCAACAACCCTGAGATAAGGCCTGAAGACTGGCCTTGTTTGTAATGGGATGAATTTGGTAGTTTCTGTTGTCTTACTCTGGTGTACAGGGCACTACAACAGATCTTAGAATCTATATAGATCCAAGGAATTGCAAATATAAAGTTACTACTCAGATCAGATGCAAAGTTGGCATGATTAGAATCATATAATAGAAAAATATCTACAGCATAGACAAGTTTTAATATTGGAAAAAGTAACTAAACTCAAGCTTCATAATACTCTAATACAGTCTATTACAACATAAAGATATGAAATGTTGGCAGTGAAGAAGATGAACTGAAAGTGAATAGCTTTGAGGTGTATTCAGCCATTCTTATATAATTTCCTGTAAAGAGCAAGTAACCTATGAATAAGTTTTTTGAACATCTGGGAATTAGCATTACATCTTTTTTTACAAACCATGATTAAGAAGATGGGATACTCTGAAGATAATCTCAAAACAGTAAGACAACTAATTGGAAAAAGATTACATAAAGAGTATGTATAAGTTCATTCAAATGGTATGTGGAAGGTAGATGTTTTGGCAAGAAAAGACAATGTGAAGGATTTTCTGGAGATTGCTTATAGAAGCTAAGAAGTAAACAAAGGATATTTATGCCACCACCTGACGTCAGATTGACAGGACCTGGCCTGACCTGGGTACTTGCAAATGTAAATAAAGGAATTAGCTGCAATGGTGAAGAATTTTTCACCTCAAGACTAAACTGATTCTTTTTTACTAATATATTTGTAATAGTTTACAGTCAAGTTGTTGTTTTTCTGGGGTGAAAAGTAAAAATGTTATTGTTTTAATTACTAGTCACTTCCTTTTGCAAGAAAATCTGTTTGTTTATTCAGAAAACTGTACCATTACTTTAATTAGGGTTGCCACGTCTGACTTACAAAAACCTAGACATCAGAACCATTTCAAAATCATATATTGTGATAACACAATGTCAAACTGTTCACATGTATTACTATGCAAGCTCCACAGCAATAGTTCTTATGTATAAAGCACATGTACTGGCTGTCACTTCAGGATGACATTTTCTCTTAAAAATCAATAAATCCTTGAAACTTGTACTATTTATTTAACCAGTGTATAGTACAGTAAGAGGCAAGATATACAGATAGATATGATATCATAGGTAGCAGTCTAACAATTTGAGAAGAGGGGTGGAATAACATGTAAAATGCATTGTTATGAGGGATGCCAAACTTACAGTATCGGGGATCTGAGAAAAATTAGGTCATTTAATTCCCCACAAAGTCTTAGATTTTCTTAGACAGCTGACTCAATAATAGAACAAAATAAGGCTACCCTAGCTAGAATGTAGTATTATTACATTACTCACTCAGTTGCAATTATGAAAGTTCTCTATGTTATTAACTTTCAATCAAGGCAATGCAGTTAGCTATTAAAGTCAAAATCATCCCAGTAATGAGTATAACTAATTAAATATACTTTTCTTATTATCTTAATCTTAGTTTTACTTATTAGTGTTAGAATGCATTGTCTCGTCAGTAGCCAAACATGGTAGGGAAAACAACCATATCCTCAATTTTAAAATCATGGACAAAAATTCTAATACTAAGTAAAGGAAAATAAAGTCGGTATTGCCATCAAAGCACATGCAGCCAACCCGCTGATAGAATTAAATCCAGTTATGGTTTAACTGAACGTTTCCAGCCCTATACTTGAGCAAAATATTTCCAACATTGCTTCGCTGTTATTCAACATAGATATCTGAAATTTTAACAATGACTTACAAGTATAAGCTACAAGTAAGACAATAAATAATTATTCTCCGATTCTTACTTTTATTGTAATGGGTCCTTAAATATGAATAATAAAAAATGTAATTCCAATTTTTCTAAATAGTGAACTGATTGTTAACTTTGTAATTTTTGCTACGCAATTCTGTTGAGTCTTATATAATTTAATCAGTAAAATATCTGTTGACACTGTCTTAAAAATTTTTTTAATAAAAAAATTAAAACATATATTTAAAAAATGAAGAAATGTGTTTTTAAAGTAATTCGGGCAATTTGAAGTGTTTCATAAAATCTTCTTTTTTTTTTACCATTAAGTTGGTATTTTTTGAACACGTATTTTTGTCAGAAAACTAAGAATTACGTAATTCTAGAGTTTTAAAGTACTAGTGTTTTCAAAAAGAGGGCCCTAGTTGTACATGTTGTACCAGTCGATTTACTTCTCGCCGTGTAGGGTTCTAATCCGTAAGTGAAGTTGAACATTAATAATGGTTGGAGACGGCTTGAATGGGTAAAGAAGAAAAACTTTAATATAAGTTTAACATAACAGTAAATGTACAACGTTTCGACAAAACCTTTTACAACAGACAAACTGAGTATTATTATAATAGATGAGAGTATTTCCTCTTTGGACCCAAAATATCATTATATCATAGCTTGATGAAATTTTAAGAGGAATACTTCAACTCAACATTTCATACCCTGAAATAAATATTTAAATCATTAAAATATTTTTTTTTATTATTAGGAATATATTTGTGTCCCACTGATTTAAACATTATATTTTAAAGGAGCTCATCAGCATACAGAATTTAAACGGTCGTATCAACTTCCGTTTTTGAAATGCAACATTTAGTATTATTTTTAATTATAAGAACACGGATTTTGTTTAACGCATATTATAAAGTGTGCATCTTTGTATTAAAAACATTGGAAAAATATATATACGTATACAAATAAATCAATGAATCTAATGGTATTAAATACATTAATCGTCCAGAGGCGATTGAAATCAGCACTATAAAACAATAATGAACTTAATACAAAACAAAAGCAGCATTATAATGAGACGAAAATTCAGAATTATTCTTCCATTACCAGTCCTCCTTAAGTCATAATAGATAATGTTGTTGGATATACAAGACTGTTTAGTGTAAGAGTTATCATTTAATGATTATTGAGTTTCCATGACAACAGTGTTAAAGTTAATTATTTTAAAGGCGATAGTTATAACAAATGTTTCTATGTAACTCGTTAAGAGTCGTGTATAATTCAATTGTAAATTGACGTCACATTACTCGAGCCTTCTGTATTTTTCTCGTTGTCTTAAGTGAGTAACCAATTAGTCACCACATCTACGGATGTAAACACCAAATAATCATGTACATTTACAAAACATTTATCAGACCATTATTAGATTACGGCGCAATGATTACATGTAACATGAATAATAACCAACAGCAGATTTTACAAAAACTGCAAAACAAAGTAATACGTCTCGCTTACCGACTCCCTCACTAATCATCTGCATGCTACGTTGAAAAACACACATCACTACATACTATACAAGACCGCATTTCTAAACTCGCCGCCAAATATTACAAAAAAGCCACCCATCGAAATTCACTCACAGCCGAATTTCATAAAATTGCCGCCACCCCCAAACCATGGTGCAAATACCTATCCCCATATAACATGATTATTTGTGGTGTTGTGTATCATGTTATATGGGGATAGGTATTTGTGGTGTTGTGTCAATAATTAATTAATTGAATAATT